TTTTTTTCAAATGCTGCCTTCTATATATCCCTGGCTCTTTCTGGTTGTTCAAAACGGCTTCTGTTCTATTAATCTATGGGCTCGGTAATACTTGAATTTCATCAACTCCTGTTATCAACCTGAGTTCTTGACAAATTTAATGGTACAGTACATAGTACTTATGGATACATCCTCGCGAGCTGCAAGAAACTTTACTATATGGATACCTAAATCGAACCCAAATCAGGAGTAAGGCTGACTAGGACTTGTCAATGGAACGCTTGGATCCCTATCCTTCACACCCGCAAGGTCAATACTATAGCCCCGTCGCTGCCTCGGAACACCTTCATTCGGCTGTGGTCGTGACGCGCCTTGTATCAAATATCCCCACCCCACCTCCGTAGTCGTTGCCTGCGATGGCACAGTCGATATCCCTTGACTCGGCCCCAGAGTTTCAGCAGCTGGTCTCCGTCTTCGAACGACTTGGTACCCTTTGTCGAGCTCGATTTCCACAGCGCATCGCACTTTCAGCGCGGAGACAGCAGGCCATACGCCGCGTTCACCCTTAAGTATCCAATGAGCTAGGCTAGCTTGGTCTGGGTTCTGGAAGAGTTTGGGGAAATCACGCAGTCTTAGGTCTGGAACTAGGGTTATGTGGGATCCCGGAACTGACTCCTCAATGAGAAGTCTTGCTAGTGGAGAGGGCAAGAGACCGATATAGTTGAGTTGGCGGAGTCGGTGTCCGATTTCAAGAGCAACCAGGCGAGTCAGGGGCCGAGCTATATTCCAATGGCCTGTTGTAGGCCGTTGGTCAAGGAAGTTGAGCTCTGAGCGGAGAAAAGGGATTATGTATGGACGTGCTTGGGAGATTATGAAGTGGTTTACGTTGAAGAGCTCAGCAATTCTGGAAAGCGGAGATTCGCCTTCTTCATAGTGAGTGTGGCGCCAGGGCTTGAAAATGACGTCCTCGCTGTGCGGCCAGGGAACGACAGAGCCGGTTTCATCCTTGCAGTAGATTGTCACGGGAGGGTAGAGGGAGTTGTTGGTTGCATTGGAAGCAACCGCGGCAGACCAGATTAGCTGCGGTTTCAGGTGGTTAGTTGGGTACATCTATAAAATTGGGAAAGGGGACGACGCACCACGTTCGGTGCCGTTAAGTAGTTGAGTAGGTTTGGTGTTCCGCTCCGGCCCGATGTTGCGACTGTGATATTCAAGATGCGTTTGGACCTAGCATATGCCTCTTCAAATGTGAGGTCGCCCAAGTTGGCGCGAACGCACTCTTCCAATACCTCGGCTTCAAGGAAGTAACCTTTGCTAGAATACCGCTTTGTACGCCGCAGTAGGGTCATCAGTCCACTATTTGCGAGGCTTGACGGGAGTAGCCACTTGCTAGACCAGGATGAACTCTGAGCTTCATCCCGTTGTCGGTCGAAAGCAGAAAGATCGATGTTTTCACCATCTAGGATCCCCAGCAGTTCTTCCTCGTTGTGAACACCAACTAGCGACGCGATGAGAGCTCCCGTCGCTGTGCCCGTGATAATACGCGGCAGGAGGCCCTGCAGATAGAGAGCCTTGACGACACCAAGATGACAAAGCCCGAAAATCGAACCACCTTGTAGTAGTAGCGTCGTTCTTCCAAATGCCTGACGCGTATCGTGTAGCAATTCCACCTTGGCCTGGGAGGTAAACCCGCTGTCGTGCACCGGGGCGGTCTGTACTGCCGTCACATGCTGAATGGAGAGTGCGATTTGTGTGATGTAGTCATCAATCAACAGCTTTGTGCCTGCATTGGCATGTAAAAAGAGTTTGGGTGAGGTGATATTGCCAAGGTTGCGGACGAGGCCTGATCGAAGAAGGTTGACCAGCGTGAGGATGTCGTCATCTTCCCGTGCGGCCATCAGACCTGTTAGCCTGCTCATAATGAGGCGAGAGTCATAGTGCTTGCTTGATGGATTTTGGCGCCTATAAGGTGTTAAAAACAGTAAAGGGGTTCCTAAATCGACATCAGAGGGTGTATCACCATAGATCCAAGCTGAGAAGCTCATCCAGCTCGAATGCCGCCTCTTCCCAGTCTTCGTAGTTAGTTGCTATTGTCAACTCATGGCGCAGTCGAGTTTGGGGAGACTTGGACCTCCACCATGAGAAGAGTCGCTATATAGAGACAAACAATCAGTACAGATCGGTGGAATGTGCGCAGTGGGTGGAGATTACTTCTCTCCAGAACAGCGTCACATCCAGCACCATGCTGATGATAGCAAGGATCAAAGCGTAAACAGCCATGGCGGGCGGTTTGAACCTAATCGCGGTGAGGAGATGAGGGCATTTAGGATATCTCCCCTCCGGTCTGATTCACATGCTTGCTTGCTATCCACGAGGTTGACAGGGAGGTCATGAGGGACGGGGTCAAGTTGTGTGAGGTGGGTTGAAGTGGGATGCGGCCTTACATCACAAGCAAAACGCCCACGAAGCACTCCCGAGTTCCAGCATTTCCGGATCTTTACCACTCACTACACATGACCCTAAAATACTTTGACTCGCGTCATGGTTTCTAATAAACGTGGAAGTGTGCTGTATCAAGAATGAACATCGTTTTTGCTCTACATAACACGCCCTGGCTAAGATAGCGCCATCTGTGGACACAAGGGGAAAAAAGTGCATATATGAATTTCATCGTCTTAAATTTTTGGATTTCATTTCGCTTTGCTTCCTGGTGCAATATGGCGAAAATACAAAGGAATCTCCAGACACCCTAACTACCCACCAAGCGGACATTACATCTATTCCTCAACGATGTTACCCTTCTCAGACACGTACAGACCGTCAAGGAACTGAAGCAATGGTTAGTAATATATTCCGTCCACTGGGTTCACTATCCCTCACCTTTCGGATATCCTTGTTGCGGACTCTGCAGATCTGCTGGATGTCGGCGGCACTCTGGGAAACAGCCTCCAGGGAGTTACCGGAGAGCTGGAGCTCATCCTTGACGTTGGGGGAGGCCTGGATATCGACACCGGGCTGGCAGACCACGCGGCGGACGTACTTCTCACCCAAGAAGTTACTGAATACAAATTAGCACAATGATCCAATATATCCATGCCGAATATGACTGGTTTGCGAGATTCAAAGAACTGAGTAATATATTTTACTCTCCCCCAAAGCGCGCACAACTAGCCCCATCTGATGGCAGAAAAAGGGTTTCATACCGGATCTCGACTTCGAACTGGCCAGTCTCGGCGTTCTTCTCAATGTTCACGTTAATGGGAAAGTGAGCGTAGACGTAACGCATCTTGTACTTGAAGCCCCTGGTGACACCGATGATGAGGTTGTTGATGATGGTGCGGACGGTACGGAGGGTAGCGACACCCTTGCGAGAGCCGTGGTGCATCTCAATGGAGATAAGGTCCTTCTTGGGGCGGCCGAAGGTGACGGCAATGTGAGAGAGATCCTTGGTGAGCTTGCCTATAAATAATACTTGTCAATTGCCATTCGACTCCAGGCACCAAAACTTTCAAGCCATGAAAGTCGACGATCTAGGGGCAATGCTGGGTATGCGTACCTCGGGGACCCTCAACGGTCACGATTCTCGAACGAATGTGAACCTTCACTATAGAGGAATTTGAGTCAGTCTGAGTTCAACAAGATGAGCACCACTACAATTCCTTCTTCGCAGCGACCGAAAAATCCGGCTCTTCCAAAGAGGTCGCAACCCATGACGCCGGCATATGACTCTTTTCTCTTTCCGGTGCGGCCAACAACCATCTCTCAATCCATAACGTCTTGTATCTTCCTCCTCCCAACTCAAAGTGCTGATAAAGAAACCAGGGTCGCAAGCTCACCATTGTCGGGAATCGGCAGCGTTTCCTCGGAGTGAATGTACCGCATCTTGACTGCTGCGTGGGCTTAAAATGTCCGAGGGGGCAGGTTGTCGTTGTCGTCGAGCAGTCGGGTCGTCGAGAAGATCGAAAATCAGTCGAAAGCCGCGCACACAATCTTTCCCGGTGGTGGTGGAGCGAAATCACGAATCACGGGGTTGTGCGTCGCTTAGCGTCGAATCGGGTTTAGCGTGTCCGTTAGGTTCTAGGGTTCCTCTTTCGTATCAAGGACCACGCCGAGTCTTCCTCGAAGTATACAGCCCTGTTCGAACGTGCATCTGACCTGCCAGGTCGCCGATTAGATTGTTGGAAAATCTGATATTATACATTATCACATCATGGATCATACTAAAATATATACAAGGAAGAAAAATAATGACAACACCGCTTCTTCAATATCTCTGCTATCCGCGCCAAGACCGCTCACCAAAAGGCAGGGTTTGCTGAAGTTAGTAGAGAACATTGCCAGGTTTAATCGGCACTGCCGGTCTCCCTCAGTTTGACTTCTTGAAGCCACTTACTACCTAAACTCTTCAATCTTGACGCTAGCTCTTCATGATCGTCTAGTGCAACGATATCATCCCCGCCGCCAATACTCCTCCCGTTCACTAGGATGTTCGGGACCGTTTGACGGCCTGTATTCTCACCGAGAAGCGCCTGTAGTTGCGAACCAAGCGGGTGTTGGTCCAGCTCGACAACGAAAGGAGCCGGTACAATCGAGTACTTTTCTAGGAGAATTGTCTTGGCTTTCTTACTAAACGGGCAATAGGATTTTGAAAAGATGATAACTGTAGAGCATCAGTCACAGGAACAACAGGAGAAACACAGCCGAAAATGGGAGCAAACTTACTTGGCGACCGCTTCAATATCCCGTTCAACTCAGCCTTCACCTTCGCTTGCTCATCCTCAAGTTCTTGCTGTTTCTTTTTCTCCTGTTCGTCCTCCTTGTCCTTCGTAGGTACGTTTTCAGCCTCAGCCTCAGCCTCAGCCCCGACCCGACCATTATCCGGGTCCTTCCCCTTAGGCACCGTCATCTTTGTCCGACCCGCGATAGGAATTTCCTCAGTATCCTGGTCCTCAGGAGCCTTTGGCTGCTCCTGTACCTCCGGTTGCGCCTTAGGGATCGCTGGTTCCTGCTTATCATCACCTCTATCGACGTAAGTATAACCCTCATCCGGCTGATCCTTGTTCGTATTCGGTGGATGATGTCCCGCGCCTGCGTTACCCGTGTTCGCCTTCTCCGCGTTAATTGCGGCAACGGTCGACTGGTAAAATTTCTGGTTTTGAACGCTTTGACTTTCACCCTGTGTATTCCCACTCATTAGATCCCACTGCGATGACCTTGTACTATAGGAGATGGGTTGCATACCGAGTAGTGCAAGTATAATATGAACACGGCCAGCGTCGTCACGATGAGAACCCGAATGCGCCTTTGGGAGATCATTTTGGAAGGTGAGGGTGAGACACTCCAATTCGAGATAGAAAGCTGCAATTACCCAATTATTATGGGATGGCGACTGTAGTTTTTAAGCGAGTGTGTATGCTGGTAGCATTGGTCATGAACTCAAAAGTAGAACATGCGCTGATAACGGGTTAGGTCATAGGGGGCCGGCACAAGTCAAGACCGAACATTTGGCGATCGCGAAAAGGTCTCGAGATGCAGTGTGTCTTAGGGAGTGGCCAAAAGAACCCTTGAGAACCAATGTTGGAGCCAGATAAACGATGTCTCCGTTGACAGTGTTGTCTTTTCGGAGTTCCCTGGCGCGTGGGGGAAGTTGAAATGAACCCCGAGGTGGCCCGTGCAGGCGGTACGCCGATACGTAGTTCTACTCCGTATGTGCACCTCGTGAGGGAGTACGACAATTTAAAGTCCGCAAACTATGGACTGTAGCTATCGAACGTGTTTACGCGGGAGCCTAGTGTCGCTGATATTTTGACCTGCAGAAGAACTGTGGTTCTATTCAGAGAGCATTCCGTATTCTTCCTCATCGTCACTAATCATAACTAACTGTAGAGCGGTCTCTGGTTCAACTCCTTTCTATTATGAATTAGATTATGAAATGTCTATGCTATCGGGGGTGGTTTGTAATCAATGGTATCATGATCAAAAAAAAGTGAAAAAAAAAAAAAAAAAAAAAAAAAAATGAAAACAATAGCAATAATAAAAAAAGACAGTGGTGAATATAAGGGGGTTGAGGTACATATAAGTAGATGCAGGGAAATCAAATCCGGTCGAGAAGATGGAGAACAACCGCAGAACCCGCAGCGGTAGCGCCCAAAAAAGAAACTCCCATACCACACAGCATAATGCCAATCAAGTGAAGGCCGTATAGTCATATATTCACCTTTTGATCCATGGTGGTTCCATTTGCTTTCTTTGACTGGTCTCTCTCCCAGGGGGGTGGTGGCTTAAGACTAGGCTGCAACCATGGCCCCTGAGTGGTTGCCGAGGGTCGCTCTGCGTTTGCCTTGGACCAGAGTCATCCAATCCTCCCATTCTTTAGCAATCTCCATGAGGACATTGCCCATTACCGTGGCCGAAGCCATCAGACCATGGCCCTCACCCTCGAGGACCCGGACCTCGCAACGCCGCATAGTCTGACCCAACCATCGGACATTCTCAACGGGAACACGAGTGTCTCGACTTCCATGGTGAATCACAACATTTCGGGTGATATCCACGTATCGAAATCCGATTGGTTGCTGACGCTCTAAGCAAACCAACAAGTCAACAGCCGGGTTAGCGTGAGTTGTGGCCAGTTCCCATATTTTATGCGTTAGTCGGTTATCGTAGTCTGATTGGCGTTCACGTTCCTCGGAGTCAATCACAGTCTGGCTGGTAATAACCTGGGGTTTTCCATCATTAGATCCATTGACGTTGCGAGTCACATGGATGGTATCCATTGATTTGAAGTCTTTCTCCGGCTGTTGTTTTCCATCTTTGGCTTCTAGAGAAATTGGACGAGAACCATCTTTCATGGTGGCACGACGCTTACTTCGTCGCGGAGACTTGGGAAGACTGGATGTCAGACTTGCGCTCGTGGCACTCATGAAGCTCGAATTGGCGATTTTGAGGAATGAGGTTGGCAAGGCCCGAAGGAACCGATGCGAATAAGGTACCGCATTGTTTGGAACAGGGGTCTTGTATGACCCAATGTTGGAAAGTTGAGAAGGGGGGATCCATGGCGCCAATAGGTGGATACGACCGCGGATATGCTGTGGTATTCTTAGAGCTGTAGCAAGAGCATAAATGGCACCCGCTGAATGTGCCAAAATAGAAAATTTGGTGACTTTTAAATGGTTACAAACGATTGCAACATCATCTGGAAGGGTTAGCGTTGTCATGCTCACAGCTATGGTGGTTAACTTACCAGGCCAGCTGAGGGGGGTCCCAGCATCGCTTACGTAAGGGCCGCTTTCACCAACTCCAGGTCGATCCAGCGTCACAAGTCGGAGTCCAAGAGATCGTGCTAGCTCGTCATAGAATGCCATCAAATATCTTGTTAACCCCATGCCGAGGCAGCAAAGTACCATATGACCTTTGGGATCACCAACTTCTGAAAACGCTATCACGCGGCCGCTCGTAGGATGACGTATCCTTTGTGTTAGCTTCGGCGAGGCTACATATTCAGACACAGCAAGATCAACCGAGTCTGCGCTTGACGGGCGGTCATCGCCCACAACTGAAGAACGGGCGTGAGAAACTGGACCGGATGGAGACCGTTTATGCAGTCGTGGTGCCTGCTGAGACTCCACGGAATGTCTGTTCCGCAGCTTCTCCATAGGATCTGGTCGGTCAAAGGACTGTCTTGTCGCAAAAGATTGAGATGACACGATTGTCGGTCTCTGTGCGACCTGGGGGCTATTGCGAGGGAATGATCGGCTTCTCCCAGTCAGAATAGCTGGAGACGGAGCACTCTCATCAATGATCAATTCATGCTGCACGATGCTACCATCGGTATCACTCCGCACCCGTGAGGGTGGCCGTTGCACGCTGGTTGGTTCTTTTGTCGGATGTTGTGGCGCATTATCAGTTTCAAGCTCGCTTTTTATTCTCTGCTGTTGGTCTTTCAGTTCTTGAATCCTCTTTGTCACTTGTTCGGTTTCGTTGCCAACGCCTGAGATACCACTATCCGTTTTGATTTCCTTGCTAGCGGTTGATGAATATCGACTATGACGGCCGCTTTTATGGTGTTTCGGACTGGAAGAATAGCCGTGTCGTAAGGACGATTCTCGAGCAGGGATAATTCTTCCACTTCCAATTCCCCCGGGTGTGCTTGGTGCGCTGTCGTGGTTGCTTTGTAACGAGGGGCGTTCCATTCCTGTAGGAGTACTGATAGAGTGCTCCCGGTATGCATCCACTGCAAACTGAGTGGGCTTTCCTTCTTCAACCACGTCGGCCATTGAATGTAGGGACCGCAAGCTAGCCCTACTGCGCGGGACGTTGTGCCTTAAGCTGTCGGTGTAGCTATTTGTTTTGCGAAGCCTTTCGATTTGTTTGTCCTTCTCGCCAGTAAATTCGCGCGACGGTTTTTTCAAAAGGCTTTTTAGACTTTTTCTAGAGCTTGTCGAATGGATACTCGCCGCTGTTGAGACTTTTTGAGGGCCAGGTTCCGCTGTGATCGTGCCAAACGCAGGATCTTCAAATGTAGCCCTATAGGAATTATACGAACTCCGCGAGGTCGGCCTTCCAGCGGACGCAGGTCGCTCGGGATTCAGTTTGAACTTGGGAGATTTCGGTGATTTTGGAGACGGTGGCGCCCGTGCCATGCGAATAACTGGCGATGCTGCGGCATCATCTGGGTGCAAGAAGGGACTATGTGGCGGCTGTTCCTCGGCTGGGTTGTGAGAGCCGTAGGTCACACCAAACCCATGCTCACTAGGTGGGTGCTGGTCGGAAACGTCAAGGTTCTCAGGTGGGAAATAAACTGGGGACGAGGGGTTGGTTTCCGAGTCAATGCGCGGGACGTTCAGGTCGAAATGCGATTGTACGGGCACGGAAATTGCTGAAAGGGAGGATATTAACGAAGTAATTACCTCCGGAGAGGTCGGGTCAGCAGCTGCAGAAGGCTTCCCAGTATGCGCGCGTGAGCGGTCGTTGTTGCGACGTCGAGCGAGGAGCGAAGGCTGAACAGGGGCTTCCGGGGTGGTTGCGGAATGTTGCTGGTTCTCCGCACGATCCATGGCGACTATTGACCGGGCTTATTATAGGTAATACTAGTAAGGTCTCTCGGAATGTTGTCTCTCCACCTCCTCAGACCCAGTGGACAGTCACCGAAGACAATATATGCGAGAGAATAGTGCGAGTTTGCATGATCCAGTGGAAAAGCCAGGAATCGAAGGAGGGCGGAACTCGGCCAACGGCGTGGATCAATAATGGCTGATTAACGCACCACGCGCGTGCCAGTGAGGTTGGAATTACGGAGCAAGTGAACCAAAACCGGAAGATTTGGAAGAATCCAGGGCGCAGGGAAAAGGCACACTACTCCTTGCCGGACGGTTTAACTTCAAGCCTTGAAGGTTTCCGTTTGGAGCTGGAGAAACGAGGGAGGTGGAACTGCAAGCGCAGATCTAGACAAATGAGACTCTCATACACACAGGACAATAATGAGAAACAAGAAAAGCAACGAGGGCCTAGCAGTTAAATGAACTACTAAGTGTTTTTGAGATCAGACAAACGATTGGGGACGGCAAGACGAGATATCCCAAAAAGGAGGTCGTCAGAAATTGAGGCGAGATAGGCGCTGCAGATAAAGCTCAGTGAGGGGCAGAAGGGATCTCAAGTTTATTGATGATGAAACGGAAAAAAAAAAAAAAAGGCGAGGATCGTGGAGGGAGATAAGAATCTGGGAGAGAGCCAGGGCAGTAAAAAGTCGAAATGTCCCCCCTCCAATAAGGCGCGATGTGCAGCAGTGTCTGTGACTCTGCGACCCCTTGGAGGATATCTTTTTCATCCCTTGAGAGGGTCGACCAAAGGGAATCAAAATTCTCGAATCAGGAATGGCCCTGTGCTGAAGCCGGACCCCCAGAGACCCACTGATCCTTTCCCAAAAGCTGTAAAACTCCCTGCTGCACGCTCCACACAGTTCGCAGATCCAAATTTGAGGACGTGCGACTCACGGTAAGTTGCCTGCCTCTGCGCTCCTCGCACTCGAAACCAGTCTTTCCAACCAGGTGGCGGAGCGCGAGAAGACCAAGAGTTGCCCTGGGAGCAAACCTGGGGATGATCGGGTGGGAGCAGAACAGATTGGCCGGCTTGTGCTCCTGTGATGAAACTCGATCGTTTCGGCGGCTCTTGTGCTCCTCCGGACAGGAAGATTATTGGAGATCTAATCTAAACCATGTTCAATTACATGATGTCGAGTGACGCCGGAGAATGCACGGCACAGGGCTCCATCAAGTAAGGTTTTAGTGTCGATTTGCGCTGAGACGCCTCGTGCGTGGAGCAAAGCTTCTCTCTGCAGGTCCTTGATTAGTCTCTGCATGTTCGTATGGAAGGCTCTCTCGTCTCCTTAGGTATGCTTCACTTCGAGGCAAGGCCGGTACAATGGTATATGCAAAGTTGCAGACCATTGCGAGGGGGCCATGAGCTTCAGACTGACAATGCTAATATACGTCAAGTGTGTGAGATTTAAGACAAGAACCCCGAGATAAATACTAGGTTCAATCGTACCATGTCGCTAGGCATTGGAAAATAAGTAACTAGTTAGCAGTTAGGTGCTCAGGGTTGGTCGTATCTACGGAAGATCTACTAGTTAGTACAGTATTAGTAGTACCATCATATCCGGGCATATTCCATCTGAATCCTGATGGACTAGTGGTCAGTATATATATCACGCACTCGTCGTGCCTTGTAGCGACATCATGATGGATAGTTGAGTTACAAGGCGTGTAAAATACTACCGACCATGCCTGTCGGACTCGAATTAAAAAGAAGAAACCATGGAAACAACCAATCTCTGCGATGAGTTCTCCCAAGGGTTTCGCTAATCAAATTAATGTCAAATAAATATAAAAATGAACAATGGTTAATAATAATCCCACGCCAGTTGAACGGAGCAAACCTCCGAGCTGCTATTCAGGCTGCGGCTTGGCAAAACACGGTCTGTTGCAAGCTAGCCTAACTTGAGGCCCTGACCACTAATTGGGCCCCGCGCTTCTCCACGAGGACTTCGACGACAATTGCATCAACAAAGCTCGCCCACGGCGCCCACAGCTCTCAGATTGCGCCCACAGCTTCTATAATCGGCTCTAGTAGCCGTATGAGACATTGTTATCCCAAGATATGCGGTGACCCGTCGCTGTCCACAGCAGTTCTGGTCCGCAATGGACGCCTACCCTCAACCTTATGTCGCCAATAACCTCCCATTTGTTCTGCTCTGTGGCCTCGAGGCCGATGATGCCAAAGCCGAACTGCATACTGATGATCCTTCATCTCCGTATCCGCTTCTGAAAGAGAGTGGCATTGTAATAGAGTCGGATTTCCCGCCGTTGGAGGGGGAAGTTGCGGAGGAATTGCGGGGTGTATTCCTTGCTGAAGATGCGTCGCGACGGCCCCAGGACGATGCCTCTGAGAAGATAGCCGGGGTCGAATATAAAATAAAGTCTGTTGGACGGGTACGTGCTCTATTTATTCGAATTCACCTGCACTATTCGCATTGAACGTTCCTCCCACGACCCTCGACTTCCCTCCATCACTGATGAACCTGCTAATTCTCCCTTAGAATTACAGACTCCCTCCGCGCAAGGCGAACCCTCCCCCTACATCTCCACCCACGAGCCCGACGGCTAGTCAAGACCATGGCGGACACCGTAGATCTTCGCTTATCCTTCATTCGCCTATATCCCCGTTGACGCCCAGCTCCCCAACGTTTCCCGACGGCATAATGTCACCTCTGTGGGCTGCAAAACACCAGGAGTTGGTTCCGGCTGTGGTGATAAACTTCTTCCCGTTTTGCCTTGATTCGAATATGAGCTCTTTGCGTGACAATCAATTGAAGATAGAAATCAATAACCTGAGAAAAGAGTGGTCCGCCTCCGGCTACAAGACCCGCGTCGTTGTCGTTCTTCTGCCAGAGGAAGCTAAAGGCGAAGACCTGGGAGATGTCGACGATCGGATCATGGGGATTCGGCGGGCAACTAATCTGGAGCAAAAATCGATATTCATTATTCCACCCGACGTGAGCCCCGAGGAGCTGAGAGAATTCACAAGGTCTCTACTCTCCATTTTACAGCCCTCGTTGATGGAATATTATCGGGATCTGTCCAAACACGCTCGTAGAAAACGAAATAGGGGCAGTATACCACCCCCAACGGCCCCGCCAACGAGTGGAACCTCTCAAACATTGTCGCTTCAAGGATGGAATACGAGGTACGAATTTAAAATGGGGATATTTGCGGAATTTAGGCAGGAAATAGATGCGGCTCTTAAAAATTACGAGAGTGCATACGATACCCTGTTTGGGGAAGAAGTTTTTGAAAACATCGCTGGCTGGGATCCGAAGTTCAATGATGCACGACTGTTAGCGGACACCCTTGCCATACGCATAATCCGTTGCCTACTACATACCGGGTATACGACTTCTGCAGTACGAGCATGGGTATATCACCGGAGTCGTATACAAGACATTGTGAACAGGCGAGGGAAAGGGACGAGGAACTACGGGTGGGAAGCCTGGGAAGCTAGGTGGTCACTGGTGATGGCTCAACTCATCCATCAAGCTCACATACCACAGTTTACATCTGTTGGAATTTTCCAGGATCAGTATAATGAGCAAAACTCGATATTCGTCCCGCACGAAAAGGCGCATCCTCCGGGGAATGAAGTCGCGCCGTGGGAACAGCTTCACCACGAGGGATACTGGCTATATCGTTCTGCAAAACATACTGTGTACCGGCGAGCCTTGGCGGAGCAAATCCCCCCGGAAGATCGGATACCACCAGGACAGGCTCCTGCATCTCAAATAGCAAACAAGGCTTATCTCTATGACACATATATTGCGCCAGAATCTCACATCGAAGCTTCGCAGACTGGCACTGGCGGGTTTGACCATTCATCATTGATATTAGATGCTCTCAAGGCAGCACTGGCCGAATTCTCAAAACGAAATCAAGTACGAATGACGGAGAGTCTTAGTTTGGAGATCGCAGAGGAGTACATGCGCATGAACTCGTGGTTAGAAGCCTACGAAACTCTCCGTCCGCTTTGGTCGGCGCTTACTTGGCGGCATTCTGGATGGTGGTATCTTATGGAGAAGTTTGCCTGGGCCTTGAGAGAATGTGCACTGCGAGTTAACGATAGTGAAACCGTTTTAAGGGTTGACTGGGAATTGCTAAACTGCGGTAAGTTTTTTTTGCCTCCTTTCGGGTTTTTCTTTCCTTTCCTTTTTTGCCCGTGTCTTCTGACATTGCAATCGTTCTTTAGCGCTCCCAGCGCGGCCTAGCTGGCATTACGACATTCATCGAAGCCTGGAAGACCTCCCGTCAGAAAAGCCGAAGCCATCTATTGTGGTTAAAGCGGAGGATATTGTTTCGAGCGGTAAGATAGGCTCTTAAAAATCGCAAAGAAGTTAACTAACACCAGGGCCTTCATTTAGTTATCGCAACCTTTGTCTTCCAGAAAGCTGAAGGCAATGTTGGTGAACCGTTACAGGGCCAGCTCGTATTGAGGTCCTGTGCCCAGAAGTCGTCGGTTCCCATTCGCTTTGCGGTACTTAAACTCGCTTTTGAGGGCTGCCTTCGCCCAATCCGGCTGCAGTCGGACCAGAATACAGATGCAGACACATTTACTCCATGCATTATATCATCACCTTCCCTGCGCGATCCGAGCGCTACTTCTGATTCATCTGTTCTTCAGTCGCCCACAAGTGCGCTGACTGCGCTTACTGGGATTGCCGATCTTACTATCGGGCCTTCCCAAACTAAAGTGTATAATTTGACCTCTATTCCTCGGGAAGCAGGAGAGTCTCGGGTGGCTTCAGTGGCTCTACTGGTTGCGGAAGAGGCATTTGAGCTCACTTGTGCTATCACAGATCTGACCCAACAAGAATCATCTTGGTGGCAGGAGACGGCAAAGGGGCCAACTCGTAGGCGAGTCGGCAAGGGCCGTGATATTAACCGCTGCAAAATCCTACCCAAGCCACCTAAAATTCGACTAGCAGTTCCAAACATCAAAGACGTTTATTATACAAATGAACGTATTGTCCTCAACCTTCTAATCGACAATGAAGAAGATGAGGCTGCGGATGTTATTGCTGAAACCAGATTATTCGGCAGCCCTGATTCTTCAGCTAAGATTTCGTGGCTCGACGAGGATACATCTCCTCAATCTGGATCTAATACGCCGGTAGAAGAAACATCTCACTTTGTCAAGCGGCCGATTGGGACCGTACAGCCCGCTTCCCAACGTGAACTGCCGGTTGTTCTTTCTAATACCGAGAGCAGTTCCGAATATGAGCTCGAAGTGTCCGCTGTATACAATCTCGTGTCTGACGTCCAAACTCCCATAATCGCTACTACACGGTTCACTGTACCCATAATTCGACCGTTTGAGGCAAATTATGAGTTCCTGCCTCGACTTAGTCCGCTGCCATGGCCGGACTTTTTCGCGGTTGCTGATGACTTGATCGGATCTCAGCAAGACTCGAAGCCGGGAGGGCTGCAGCAAAGGTGGTGCCTTGACACGAAGGTCGTTTCTTTTGCCCGGGAGCCGCTGGTAATCGAGAAAATGTCAGTTGCTGTGCTGAGCCTCAACGGTGGTGTTAGCTCTGAAATCGGATTTGAAGCAGTTGTCAGTCCGGACGAGTTAGTAATTCGTCCTGAAGAGCTTCGCCACTCCAAATTCATCTTGGATATCCAGAAGCTTGTTTTGGGTGACCGGCGGCCTACTGCACTTAACCTCGCGCTAGAAATCCAATGGCGAAGAAGCGAAAGTGGCTCGTCTTCTGCAAGCGGAGACCTGACAGTAACCACACTCGAAATACCGCGGTTTGTGATACCGGCCGGTGAACCCCGCGTACTCGCTTCTGCCATTCCATCACATAGGCTTTCCGGGCTGATACACATGGAGTACGCCTTGGAAAACCCGTCACTGCACTTCCTTACGTTTAACCTGACCATGGAAGCTAGTGAGCATTTTGCTTTCAGTGGCCCAAAGACAATGGTCGTCCAGCTAGCACCTGCGAGCCGACACACCATCCGTTATAATTTGTTGGCTTCCAAAAAAGGCTTATGGATCCAGCCACAACTGCTCGTTGTGGATACATATTTCAATAAGTCTCTACGGGTGCTCCCGACGGAAGATATGCGGTCAGATAAAAAGGGAATCCTGGTATGGGTTGATGCCGATGATTAAAGTATGTATATAGAGAGAGTATTATGGTGACAGTCAGATTATCACATTTTCGCCATCTTCACCATTTACTATTCATATAAGTAGAAGCATGCAGTATGACAAAACAGGATGGCTAGGCTGATATTAATGAAGGAGTAAACAATGTTCTCCTAGGTATCCGTAGTGCGACTTATTAACCCCAGGCATGAGCATTGCTCTCACGTGGGGTGTCCTTATCACCATCATCAGAAGCGGACTAGCCCCGACGATCGGGACGGTGCCCGCAGCTTTCCCGTTCCGTTAGGCGGAGAGAGGCCGACTGGGAGAACGACGTTGAGGGAGGCTTTATCTTCTTCTCTACGATTTGAGCTGGTTTGCTGAGTTGGTTTCGGTTGCAACTAGACCATCTGCCAAGGCTTTTGAGACTTTAACTTGAACTCGTTTGCAAATTCCCAAATATCGGGGTTTTCTACCTCGGCGCCTACACTCCACTCGTGTTCCAACATAGCCTTCGTTCAAAACAGAGACATGGCAGCGCAAGCGGCTCTAATCGCCGATACCATAGTGGGGATGAAACGGGCCCTTCGCAATGAAAATGATGGTATGTTTAAGTTCCCAGTGCCCAAATTTTTCGTTATTTCCGAGAGCTTTCTCTGACCTGTGTTTCTTCAGATACGGGACCCGATGATCCAATTATGCAACCGACGAATAGAGGCAACAAGCTCCAGGCGAATGCACGATATGTGAAAGAGGGCGCTATGGGATATGTACACCCTGAGGATCTATATAAACAGGTATTATCTGCTTCTTAGCTTATATCCGCCGGCGCCGGTGCCGGTCTCGTCGGATTGCACGGGCCAACGGCGCTGGGCCTGAATTGCAGATGGCTGATTGCAGTTGAAATTTGGATGCAGAAAATTGAACATGCCGGGTATACACGATATATTCTTCAACATAATCCTGTGCGCTACGACTCGGAAGGCGACGAGCTTGATGACGACGATGAAGACTCAGAAGCAGATGCAGCTGTGGCGGAAGAAAATCCATTCTCTGAGATCGCACTGGAACGTAAGTGAAAACTCTTTATCCAATTAAACATAGAATTTTACTGCAAGATTTGCTGACTTTATCAATGTTGGCTATCTAGATTTTCTATGCCCATTGAAGCATCCATCCGAACTTCCTTCTCACCCTTCGTTATCGCATGCATATACTTCCAAGGCTCTTCTACACATGACACAGGCGATTGAGACCAAGTTGCGCCAAGAACGGGATTTGTTATGGCGGGCTAGGAATTTACATCGGCAATTCCTTGGTGATGGACGTTGGGCACCGTGTGGCCTATTCGAGACGCCCGAAGACAGGTTGATTTTTGAACCCCAAATAGTTGACACAGAGCACAATTCCCCTCTATCAGAATATGAGACAAACGGGGTCAATGTCTCGGAACAAAATGAACCTAATAACTCGAGAGACAGTGCCCAAAATCCACTGTCATCTGCACCCTCTCCAAAAGAAGTCGAATCACTACCACATCAGATTGACATACCCGAAGACGCAGCTAACGACGTTGAAATGGCAGTTGAGCCAGCTGGGGTACCAGAGAAAGAGTCTCGTGTTCTCGATACCGATCACGCGAAAGAGCCAAAGTTTGAAGAAGTTGATACAGTTGTGGGCGACCTTCCGCAGCATTCAGAATCTCGAGACGGTGCAGCCAAATTAAATGGCGACAAAACAGATAAATCACATGGCGATCAGGATTGGATTCCAGATACGGATGGGGCTGTTGACAAAGAGACGAAAGAGGACGATGGTGCTGACCCAGACCGTCAAAATAAGGATGTTATGGAAGATGAGGTAGATGAGGTAGATGAGGATATTGAGATGGAAATTGGATCGTCTCCGGAACCCCCAAGGCGTATGACGACCAGAGCTCAGACCAACGCAGGCCAACCCCAGCAAGACCCCGAATCCGAGCATGCTTCCCCATCCATTTCTAGTGATGCACTCAGTTCACTCCCTACACCTCACCCCTTATATCTCGTGCCCGAATCAGTTCGCCCAGACGTCAATTTCGGCCTACCTCCCAATGAGGCCGAGGATACGCGCCGGCTTCTCTGGTCATATGTCCAGAAACAGGAAGAGACGGTGCGCGGTTTCGAGCACATGCTTGAGACTCTTCTACGAGCTTGCCGGATGAAAGAGGACGTTTTTGAATGGTGCAAAGCGGAGGGTCATGTTGGTGAATTGAGTGACGGGGAAGATTGGTATGACCGTGAGAAGTGGGGTCTTGCTGAAGGGGAGGACCTAAAGAAGGGTGCGGACGAAGACGACATCGAACCGGTTGAGGAAAGCCGATCGAATAAGAGAGGCAGGGGCCGTCGTGCCTAATATGGGGTCATCCGTACTCGGTCTCCGACCCCTTTGCTCTTCTCATCCATATGTGCTGCGTCGTCATACATAAATTTCATAGCGTGGAGTTGGCGGGTATTTAACTCTCGGGCCTTGTTTTGGCTAAGACGTGGGTGGCTGTCATGTCAAATGGTTTATACCCTCTCCGGGCCTTCACTCGGATGGCCTTTATACATACCGCTTACATGTCAGACATTCGTGGAAATGACTTATTCGGCGTTTTTGGGATATTTAACAATAATATACGTGATACTCGTACCATGCGGCAAATTTCTTAATTCGTAATCATTTAACGAAATAACCATAAAATCACTTTGCTTTAAACCTATTTTCTATATGCATTGCATGGTCTTCACTCTAAGTATATACGGTCTTAAAAATATCTTTAGGGGCATTTCAAGTCCCATTTATGCTCCTGTCATCCTCTCGATTCCATGTTGAATATCACCCTGCCCTTTTGTTCTGGCCTTATTTTGTCTTCAAGAGCTAATATAGAGTTCTCACACCCATCAACCCAGCTTCGGGCCACCTTTTTTGTCCTGTACCTGGTCTTGTCATGCCGAGTTAATTATTCTCCCCCTTTCATCTTCATGAATGTTGAATGCTCAAGTCTTAATCTCAACATCGGCCTCTTCTATCCTTCGTTGAACTTGTTTGTTCTCTGCTTCTAAGTTTGTCGTCAGGAGCAATGGTTGGGCAATTTACTGGTTTTTGCCGCCTCGTTTCGACTTTGCGCGCTCGCGCTCGCGCTTTGCGTAGATTTCCGCGGTGAAAGGACTACATGTTGCATGATTAGATGCACCATCTCAATCATACCGAAAAGTATGAAGACGGGGCAGAGGGACTTACTCCTCCCACTTCAAGGCAAACCAATAGAGAACAAAGACAAAGGCCGTAAGCAAAATGCCCGCAACCTTGCCACTGTAGAGCGCAACGCCCAGGAAGTTTAGAGTACTTCCCCAGTACATTGGGGAGCCGGTAACGTTGAAAGGGAAGCCCGTCACCGGGGCATCCATTAGGATACCAAAGTAATCTCCGAGGTAGGTACCGGTGACGCCAAGTGCATACATGCTTGACAGAACGAGGACAGATCCCACGGCAAAAAGACCGCCGCCGAGGATGGGTTGGTGCACTGGGGCATAGTATGGCTGGTCTTCCAGAGCCAACTGGTAGATGTGGTCGCGTAGGATTCCTAGTGAGAAGATGGTGGCGGCGAGGAAGTAGCAGCCATAGTATGGGCTACCAAAAATACGAGTCAAATAGTGGCTTCGATGCTCTACGGATAGTATTAGAAGGTGCCCGCCAGATTGTCGCATTTGGGGTGTTGGAGGGATGGGAAGCTACCGGCACGGGCAACAATACTGGAGTCCGCCGAAGCGGCCGAGGTTAGCAGTGAAACCGGATTGCAAAGCATGGAGTAAAGCAATTGCGAATCGGAATTGCGGTTTGCAGATGAGAATACTTACTTCCAGAATATGGGGTTGAATGCAATGGACAGCGCAGCATCTAGAGGATCAACAATTGAAAACCAAATGCTGGACGTGAATAAATCAGGGAAACATACACTTTAGCGTATCCTGAGAGAAATCGACAAAGTCGGAAAGGGGCGGCATATTTGGGGATGTCGGGGCTGAGGAACTGGAAGACTGAGAGGAAAACAAAAGGGAGAGAAGGGAAGAGGAAGACGGATAGCAGAGAATGGGGGAGCGAAGGTGTTGGCAAGTGACGTCGTCATCATCAGTGCCCCACACCGCCTGCCTTGTGCCTCTCCGCCTTGAGATCAGCCTCCAACTGCCATCCTTTGATGGACCCCAGACGCTTTCCATATCAGTCAGTGTTGGCAATGCGTCCCCTTAGGCTTTCACATTTTCTCTCTTGACCTCCATGAGAAGAGACCCAGCTAATATGCAAATGGTGTGACGAAAATGGCCGTGAAACGTCGCGAATACATCCTAGCGGGCTTTGGTGGTTTCGTCGCTTGGGGTTTTGCTGTTCACTGGCTCCCTGTTCTTAGATATCTTGGATATGCCTTGGCTCTGGGGGCCTTCATTTCCTCCGCCGCTATCTTTGGCGTCGTACTCCTCACTTCACGAAACTCATCCTCGTCTAAAACTAACCAGTCTAAGAACCTACCTGTCGCATTCGTCGCACGCCGGCATTGGCAGAAGGAGGTCCAAGTGTTGCAGAAGCACTCCAAGTATCATGCGGAATCACTATATCCACAGTCATTCATCGTGTCTGAAAGCATTGATGAGATGCTCTCACTTATATCTCGTGACTTCGTCTCGTCATGGCACAGCGGAATCAGCCCGAACCCCACCTTCCCCAGTGAGGTGGACAAGGTGATACGGACAGCAATTGGGAATCTTCGCGATCGGCTCGTGGCAGAAGATATTGTATCCCTTATCGTCTCTCGAATATTTCCTATTTTGACTACACATCTGAAAGAGTTCGATATCGCAGAGCGATCTGTACGAGGAAAGAACTTGACTCGCAATGTCACTGAATCTGAGGAGTTGGATCTTGCTATCGCGAGCAAATACCGTGATGGCCATTTACACCCGGCCGCCGTCCTTTCTCTATCCGACCAAAAAATAGTGGAGCAAGATTATTTGCGCAAAATAACCGTTGGATTACTGCCCCAATTGTTCCCGGAAAGTGTTCTTAGCAGTCGCATTGTCTCGGTACTTGTGAGGGAAATTGTTTCTTGTGCTGTCCTCTTTCCACTTATCTCAGCAATCTCGGACCCGGATACATGGAATCAATTGATGGAAGCCTACGGTCGAACTGCTCTTCAGGATCGGAAAACTGTACGCAAGCTCCGGGCTGCCTTGGACGAACATGCATCCCCTGCTCCCAAATCGAAACGCAGCCATCCTTTCCCACGTCTCTCGCCAAACGATTCCGAGCGAGCTTTCGAGCGGTTTGTCCGAACTATTCGACGCTGCAATAACCTGTCCGACGCCCGGCGGTTCAGAGCTCTTGTAGCTAGTCAATTGAAACGAGAGTCGATGGTTGAAGGGCAGGACCCCGTCTACCTTCGGCGACTCGAAACCGGCAAAAGGGTTCTCGATCAGAAAGTGGCCAAACTTTCGGCTCCTAATGACCAGTCGTCTCATACCGCTGCTGCCGTTTCACACTTCCGGCGCAAGAGCTCATCAGCGGCCCAGGATGCGTCTCTGGTTGAAGTGATGCATGATGCATCGGGCCTATCGTATTTTATGGAGTTCATGGACCGTCAACATCTCATGTCTCTCGTGCAATTCTGGATCGTGGTTGACGGGTTTCGTAACCCGCTTGAGGATGACTTCGGCGACGAGTCATCGCCCAGTTCTAAATCGTGGACAACCGCGGACAGGAATGACATGGCTCTAATTAGCGAGACATACCTTACAAAACCTGAACTGAAAGTGACAGAAGAATCTCGTCAAATTGTGAAGGCCTTCCTAGGTGCAGGAAAGCGCGCCACTTCCGAACAATACCGTAAAGCTCGCACGGTGATATTGACCACTCAGTCTGCTGTGCTGGAAGAGTTGCAAGATGTTTATTACCCGAAGTTCAAGCAGTCGGACCTATACTATAAATATCTCGCGCTCGATGACGGCGCACATAGTAGCGGCGTCGCTGTGCCGTCCCCGTCATCTCAACAAACCCCTGTGGGCGCCCTCGAAATTCGGGAAAGACGCCCTCTTCCTCCATTGATGAATCGCACGACGTCTCATCCGGGTTCCAGGCCGAAAAAGGATCTACGACGAGCTGCCATTTCGTCGAATGACGTTCCTAGCTTAGGGAAACTCTTTGACGACGAAGAGCCAGCGAGGGGGTCAATAGACTCTGAGCGTTCAGTGCCACTGTTCGACGATGACTACGATACAGATCCGCTTGCCATGTCCACCCAGAGCCTTAACCGAGACACTCCGCACGGCGAGTCTGAGAATAGTGAAAACAGAATAATTGAAAACATGGAGGCGGCTCTTAATGACATTATCACGAACGAGCCTAAGCATGGGAAACTAGAAGAATTGCCTACCAATGATCTAAACCAAAAATCACCTCGCAGTTCGACTGAAATTCCTGCAGCGGATGGTCGAGACGATAGATTGAAGCCCAGCATTGCCTCCTTAGGACTTTTGGATGGGACATCACGCCGCGGAGTGTTTGATGACGACCTTTTTCCTGAACAGCAAAAATACCTTGAGGATGAATATGAAGAGCCAGAGGGCGCGGACGCCAAGGATTCTGCGGACGAGGTTCACGAAGCAGCACCAGGAGATTTAGGATTGACGGAAGCAATTCAAGCGCTCACGACAGACATTGAGAAACTCGGGTCGCAAGAGGCGGTGGTCGACACCTTGACTCGAAAGGCTGAACTCACGAACAATACAGCCGAGCTACGGATTCTACGAAAGTCTAAGACAAGCATCCAACGAGAGCTTCATCGCAAGGATATGCAACGACAACAGTACATGATCCAGGAGAGTGACAATAGCCTGTATGGCCGGTCGAGCATCCGAATTAAGTCCATTGTAGTGGGGAAAGAGGAGGATGGTCGAGAGTTTGCTTTGTGTATGCTTGGCATCACCCTGGTTAAATTCCATGGCTGACCTCTGCAGATGTTGTTGAAGTACAAAGAAATGCTGGGGAGCAAATGCCAGCGGCCTCCTGGGCAGTAGCACGCAGGTATAGCGAGTTTCATGAACTTCACCATCAATTACGCATACGATACCCATCTGTGCGCCAGCTAGAGTTTCCCCGGCGACGAATGGTTATGAAGCTTCAAAAGGAATTTTTACAAAAACGACGTTTAGCTCTGGAGGCATATCTTCAGAAGTTATTGCTTCTTCCAGAAGTATGTAGGAGTCGTGACTTACGCGCTTTTCTCTCTCAACGAGCCATCATCCCACGCAACGAGGCACCGCCAGATGGGGAGACAAAGGACCTAGTGACCCGTATATACAACTCTGTTGCCGATGGAATGGATGATTTCCTCGGGAATTTCGGCGTGCTCGACCAACTCTCAGTTGCTGGACAAAATCTCATATCTGCCGCCACCAGCCAACAACAACAACAACAACAACAACAACAACAACAACAACAACAACAACAACAACAACAACAACAACAACAACCATCTACCGTTGTACCATCGGCGGCTACCTCTAGCCTTTCTACTGAAGATGCTGTGACGACCGCCGAAGCTGAGGCCGAGCTAAATGCCTTTGAAGATCGCGAACTGGAGCCTTTTATTAAGCCTATCTGCGACCTCTTTTTAGAAGCCTTCGAGCTCAACAAGGGCAATAATTGGCTCCGTGGCCGTGCAGTCGTCGTCGTGCTCCACCAGCTCCTCGGCGGTACCATTGAGCGTAAGGTTCGCGAGGGCGCGCGCTCTTTAGTCCAAGACGAACATCTTCTACGCTACCTCGCTCTGGCAAAGGGCTTACTCTGGCCTGGTGGGACTTTTCACCAGAACAAAGTCCGCACGGCCTCGGAGCGTCTCAAGAGCCGCACAGAAGCTAGTCTAGTCCTTGCAACACTCGTACCAGATTTTGCGGGCAATGTAGTCGGGCGTGCAAATGCTCAGGCCGCGGCGAGGAGAATCTTCGCGACAGTGAATAACCAGCGATTGAACGCGCATTTGATCTTCACACTATTAGACGAGATCGTCTTGGTCTTGTTCGGCGGGGACAAGGCCACTGGGCGAATTCGACCATGAAAAAACACATAACACATGACATGAATATTAGACGATAATGACTCGCATGGCTCATGATGGCGACGACATCCCTTCATTGCTGTATCTGTGCATTTAGAAAATGAAAGGCTGGGGCTGGTTTCAGCCCACTGTCGCAGACTGCGTGATGTTTGATTCGCGATTCTCATAATATATAATGTCTCTGATTTCCCGCCTTATGCTTTCCCCGTCCTGAGATTAGTAGCGGTGTATTTTAGACGAACTTAAGAAAGGAGGGCACATCGATTCCGGTTGTAAATACTTAGATAGGGCTGATATAGGCGTGATACATAGATAGTACTCGTACTCCGTACCCGGTCGTGATACTTGTAGTATCGGCGGTTTCGTCTTTTTTGTTTTTTTTTTTTTTTTTTT